CCCAGTAGCAGCTCCGCCCCTCCCATTGGCCGGGAGGCTTTGTGAGCGGGAGCTGTGGGGGTGGTGCCCAGAAAACCTCCCTCCCCAGACTTTCTGTCGAGGAGCCAGACATACTGGCCCTGTCCCAGCGTCTCAAAGAACCAGGGCAGGCAGGAGTCTGTCTTAGTGCCTCTGTGCCTCTGGCCTAAGGTAAGTACAGCCTAGCTGAACCAGTGCCTTGATCCCCCTCCCAGAGCTTGCAGGCCCAGCGAGCTGTGGGGGTGGTGCCCAGAAAACCTCCCTCCCCAGACTTTCTGTCGAGGAGCCAGACATACTGGCCCTGTCCCAGCGTCTCAAAGAACCAGGGCAGGCAGGAGTCTGTCTTAGTGCCTCTGTGCCTCTGGCCTAAGGTAAGTACAGCCTAGCTGAACCAGTGCCTTGATCCCCCTCCCAGAGCTTGCAGGCCCAGCCCTGAGCCTGCTCCCACACTCTAAACCCCTGAAACCCAGCCGAGAGCCCCCTCCTACTTCCACAGTCGGCAACACCAACTAGAATCCTTCCTGCACCCCTGCTCCAGCACACAGCCCCCTCCTGAATCCCTCATTTCTGGCCCCCTCCCACATCCTGTACCCCCAGCTGGAGTCTTCACCCAGTCTCACAACCCAATCCTCTGGCCCATTCCATTGAATTTGGGGAAAGGACAAGCGATGCAGGAGAAAGTGGGATGAGGCTTAGAACACGGGGTGGGGCAGGGCAGGTGTTTGGTTCTATGTGATTAGAAAGTTGGCAACTGTAGTCACACTTCATATGCAGAAATCACCCTGTCACGTTATTCACACTGCTTTCTCACAGAGGCAGACATCTTGATCAGTGTTCAGGACTCACACTTCACATGCAGAAATCACCCTGTCAAGTTATTCACACTGCTTTCTCACATAGGCAGACATCTTGATCAGTGTTCAGGACCTGATGAAAAAAATCTTAACATAGTCAAGGAGTTGACTGAGAAAATATCAGAGACATTGGGTATTATTTTTGAAAACTCATGCAAAACAGAGATTCCAGAGGAAGGCAAATATAGTGCAATCTACTAAGACAATCTGGGTAATTACAGATGAGTCTTCTTAATTTAAGAACACAGAAAGATAATAGAGTAAATAATCAGTTTACAAACACCTGGAAAATAAGGTGATGATGGCTTATCAAGGAATGTTGCTTTTGAAGAACAAATCATGACAAATTAACCTAATGGCTCTGCTTGATAGGAAACAAGCCTTGTGGATGGGATGTGGCAGGGGAGGAGTGGTAGATGTTGTATATCTTGATTTTAGTAAGGCTTTTGTTAGTGTTCCTCTTGATCTCAAACTAGGGAAACAAAGCCTAGATGGAGTTACTATAAAGTGCATGCATATTTGGTTGGAAAAACATTCCCGTAGAGTAGTTATCAATGGTTAACAGTCAAGCTGGAAGGGTCTATCACATGGGGTCTTTCAGGTATCAGTTCTGGGTCTGATTCTGTTCAATATTTTCATAAATGATTGAGACTAAAATTATACAGCGTACACTTAAAGTTTGAAGACAATACCAAGCTCAGTGGGGTTGCAAGTACTTTGGACGATACGATTAAAATTAAAAGTCATCTGGACAAATTTGAGAAATTGTCTGAAGTAAACAAATTAAAAAAGGACAAATGCACTAAGGAAGGAACAATCACTTGCACACACATACATGGGAAATGACTGTCTAGGAAGGAGTACTATGGAAAGAGCTCTGGGGGCACGGGTATTGGATGAAGCTATCTCTTGGGAAGGTGAACTCCCCAGGCTTTGGCCCTGCCCATATTCTACCGCAGGCTCCAGACATTCTTCCCAGGCACTGCCCTCTCCCCACTGTTCTTTTCTTTCCCTGCCCTGCTTACCCCCTTTAAGCAAAATCCCTGAATCCAAATGTAGAAAATGACATTTGAAAAAAAAACAACACTCTTCTACAAATTCTTTCTAACGAAAATGGAACATGTTATCCACTGCATGCCAGATTGTGAAGACTGGACCTGCAGAAGGTACCTAATTAAATTTATTTGGGAATAAAAAAAGTCACAAGTTTTTTTTATATATACCCTGAAGTTTGTCAAAGATTTATTTGCACAAACTTTGGGGGAAGGGCAGGTCAGAATATAATGGAATAGATGATGCAGCTCTTCTTTGTTTAATTTTTTTTAATCAGTATTTCTGAGCTGATTTTATATTTTAATTTTACTCTTAAGCCTGCACAAGTAATCATTCCAGATTACTACAGATTTAAGACACTGAAGCAAAAATATAAGTTTAAATTAATCAGAGCAATTTAGTGTGTTCATCACAATATTCATTGCTTTTAGAAAAAGGGAACACTAATTTATTTTGTGTAATCTCCATAACAATAGACATATTTACAAAATTTCATTTTATATTAATGTTAAAAATATGTCTAAATATTTTAGGTATAACAAGATTTTATACCTTACTGATTTTGGTGGAGGGTTCTCGTAAAAGTAGTTCATCAAATAGTCAGAAGTAAAAAAAGGGAAAATTCATTTTAACCAGGTATGTAGAAGAAAAGAGGTGTTGTCTCTATAAGGACTCTCTTGAACAGAGAGTGAAAAGAGAAAGATTACAGCAGAGATAGATAGAAAGAACAAGACGACTTTGGAAGCAAGTTTTTTGTATTATAGTAATTAAAATGTGTATTTTAAATAAGATCTTTTGAAGAATTTAAAGAACTTTTTGTCTGAAGATCCAAGTATGTAAGTCTAAAGATGAATACTCAGATTCTGCATCTCAAAATCTATGCAAGGATGTTTTAAATGTGTGGTTTTATAATCTACTGCCGCAACAAACTGACTAAATATTTTAAGCAAATTGTAAACTAAGGTCCTGTAGCCGAATAGATTGAATAAATATTGCAGTAATGCAAAATTATTTTTGTCAAGTACATTCAGAATCTGACAGTATATACCTCCAGGATGGCAAATGCTTTTTAAATTACTCCATTATTGCTTAATGGCTCTTTGAACAGTTTCAGTGTTATGCTGATAGATCTGGCAAGTTGTAAGACTTTTCACTTTGAAATTACTAGATTGCCTCTAGGGGCAGACTCACCAGGCTGAAACACCCTGTTGTTGGAGCCTGCAGGAAGAATCAGACTAGGGGTAAAAAGAGGTAGGTGTTTGGACATTAAGATCCAGGGGAAGCAATGTCTTCCCTTTCCTCTATACTGACCATGTCTGGGAGTTGATAGTGGACCACAAAGTAAATATGAGTCAACAGTGTAACACTGTTGCAAAAAAAGCCATAATTCTGGAATGTATCAGCAGGACTATTGTACTCAAGACACAAGAAGTAATTCTTCCATTCTACTCCATGTTGTTAAGGCTGCAACTGGAGTATTGTATTGTGTCCGGTTCTGGGCTCCATATTTCAGAAAAGTTGTGTACCAATTGGAGAAGGTCCAAAGGAGCGCAGCAAAAATGATTAAAAGTCTAGAAAGCATGATTTGTGAGGAAAGATTGCTAGCAGCTGCATCAAGCATGTGTCTGGAAGCCACTTTAGCCCCACTGGGCTGATGGTGCTGGTAGTGGAGGCCCCTGGTCATTTTAAATCACCCTGAGCAGCAGGCAGGCTGGGGGGGCTATGGGGGAGAGGGGATTGCGCAGGGGCCGGAGCATAGACAACTGGTGTCTGCAAGGGATGGGGGGTAGGGAGGACCACTCAGAGGAACAGGGAGGGGGGTATAAGAGCACTCCATTTAGCAATTACAATTTTGACAAGGCACGGGGGTGCGGTGCACCTCCTGGGTGCTGCCACAAGTCATCTATTGCCGGGGTGAGACCAGGCCCTAACCTTTGGTGTAGATGAGATAGGAATATTCCTGTTATATGGGCCCATGGTACCCAAGGACCTCGCTGCCTATGACCACATTACATATATTTGGAAAAATCTTAGTATTTAGAATGAGCTCCATTGGGAGACTGAAGAGACAGGATGGGTGAGGTGGTATCTTTCATTGGACTATTTTGTTGGGGTGTGTCTACCCTGCACCTTTAGCTTAAAATAAACCCTATTCTGAAATGTCCCTTAGTCCTCATGGAACAAGGTTTACAGGGATGTCAGAATAACTACTCCATTATATTTTGAAATAACAGGCTTGTTTCAAAGATGTGGAATAGCTATTTCAGGCTACTGAAATAATGCTGCAGTGTAGATGTACCTTTAGAAAGAGGGACTAGTCATATGCAACTGCTCTGAGGGAGCATCTGCCTCTGTAGCAAAACTGTAAGGTTCTGGTCTCTGACAACTTGTATTTCCATTCTCTTGGCTGCTTGCTATTACTAATGGCTAGAAAAGTGCAGGGGAGGATAGCAAGAAAAAGAATTCCAACCCAAGATGTCAGAATAGGCACTTGCAGCTCTCTTGCAGAAGCAGCTGTGCCTTGTAGCATTGTTGTTCCAATGTCGTATCTTGACAGAAGTCAGTTAGATCATGTGAATATCTCTTTGCATTTTACTTGGAGAATTCAGAAGAGGCCTCTGTCTGACACTGGAGAAATCTAGTTTGTGGGGACTTGCTTTTAGTTAGTTTGGGGGAGTTTATCAAGCAAAATTTCAAGAAGGGAACATTTTTAAGGTATGCATTTTTTAAAAATTTTATTTGGAAAATTCAAAATACATTTTAGTATCTATTTTAGTAGAGTTATCTGAGGACTTCTGTTATGCTCAAGCAAGCAGAACATAAGACTATTACAAACCACAAGACTATGGAGCCAAATTATTCCTAGGTATAACTACAGGAACTATGGCAGATGCACAGTAGGTATAAATTTGGCTCTTGATAAGCAAACACTCCTGCTAGTCTGCCTTTTAATAGATTAAACTTAAAAAACAACAGATAATCTAGCAGCTAAACTAAAAAAACCCCATGTAGATGGTATCATGTGCTTTCATAGACACAACCCACTCCTTCAGATGAATTTAATTATGCAAGGAGAGCTGTGGGCTGGAGATTCTTCAGGTGATAGACCTGTAGAGGCAGGGCATGAGTGATGATGTTTGCCCTGGCTGTCAAGTGCTGATTATGGCCTCCCCACTGTTGCCCACGTCAACTGTGGATCTGTATCTATCACTGACACGGCTGGAGTTGAGAGTGGCAGCATTGAAGCCGGTGCCGCTTTATTTGAACACGCCACTTTTGCCTGCAGCCCCGTATAATTTTGTGGTGCTGGGTTTTATGGGGCACCACAAGTGTGGAGTGCCCCTAGGCTTCAGCACTGAGGAAGTGCAGACAGGCGCCATGGCTAATTTGTAAGCTCTGCCTGCCATTTTGATAGCAGGGGTCCTCAAAGTGCCTGGTCTCTTCCCTACTTACTCTCAAGGAAGAGACTGTGTCGGAGAAGTGGCTCTTTTCTTTGGTGAGTCTTCCTATTCTTGGGAGGCATTTTGTGCTTCAGCAGGCTGCATAGCCTTGTCCAATAATATAATTCTGAGGTGGAGCACTGTATTCTTTCTAGCTCTTCCTGCCAGGCTGCAGCAGTGATCACACTTCTGTGGTATGTGGGCTTCCCCTAAGTAGCAAATGCATAGGGAATGGTCATCGGATACTGGCATGGGCTCCTAGCACTCATCACATTTCTTGAAGCCCGAAGAACCAGACATATTGATTTGTCTGCAGTGTTACTCTTTCTCTTTTCCTTTTCTGTACTGGAAAAAAAAAAGAAAGAAAAAGAAGAGGAGAACTGGGAAGGAGCCTGGTTCATGTTGCCTCTGAGCTGAGCAGCTAAGCCACGTTCAAATCCTGTAGGGAAGAAAAAACATTTTGTGAGGTAAAATTGAACAAGGAGAACTATGTACATGAATTTCTAACACAATAAGGATAACTGTCAAAACACTAAAATATTATCTGAGATAAGAGTGTGAGAGAGCATATTGAAGCTCCATCTGAAGCTGAGGGCAGTTAAAAAGGAACTGAAATGGATGGGTCAGGCCACGCATGTTGGACGCTCAGTTGGGAGTGCTGTGACACAGCTCCTGCGAATGCATGGCCCAGTCAGGGAAACTGCTTTGCAAGGCTCGGATCTGTGGCTCCGGGTGACCCATCACCAACAGTGGAGCACCCCCCGGATGCACATCTTGAAGAACGGTTGTTATACATGAAATGAGTAATTACCTTTTCACAGCATCTTTCACTAAAAGCCATTAATATACTACTTTGTCACAGACCAGAACAAGTAATGTCAGGAGTTCTGCTCCAGTAAGGGGTCTAGTCTTGCCCCCCCGCCAGGCTCTTTTCTTATGCCTTGGTAATTGGCATTCATATGGGCCTTCCCCACTCCCCATTACATTTAAGGTAGAGGCAGTCCCCGGGTTACATTGATCCGACTTACATCGGATCCCTACTTACAAACGGGGTGAGGCAACCCTGCACTAGCTGCTTCCCCCCAGCAGACCAGGGAGATGCAAAGCTAGCGCCCCCCCCGCAGCAGACCAGGTTGACGCGGAGCGGCTTTTCTCTGCAGACACCTCAGCTTGAGAATAAAGGACTGAGGGAAGTGAGGTGTGGGAGAATAAAACTGAGCTCTGGAGAAATGTTTGGCTAGAGTTTCCCCTACAATATGTACCAGTTCCGACTTACATACAAATTCAACTTAAGAACAAAACTACAGTCCCTATCTTGTACGTAACTCGGGGACTGCCTGTACTGAGGAAACTGAGGTGAGAGTAATTATCATGATTGATGGCAGTTCTGATATTCATATCTGATAAATCTCTTAACATAGCCTCCCCCCCACCCCAACACCTTACAGCTCTTCCTGAGTCAAGCAAAACCAAAATCAGCTCCTAGATCTGGAACCAGAATAATTGCAACGAATAGCCTGGATGTTGTCCACCAAAGAAATTGATTATCTGAAGTTCAGAACCTTCCATTCCAAAGCAGGAAAGACTCAAACTGACTTAGGGTCTTGTCTACGCTACCAGGTTTTGTCGTCAAAATGTATATTGATGCCCAAAGTTGACAAAACAAAACTTGCCAAACTGTGTTCACACTTGCTCCATCTTTCAACAGATCATATCCTCATTGGAAGGAAATATCACAGACAGTGTGAGCAATGCACCGTGGGTACGTAACAGTCTCTGCAGACTTCCCTCAGAGTTCTCCCACAGCCTTTTCAACTGGTGGCTTGAATAGCTCCGTGAGCTTGCCATGCTGAGGATTGTCAAAGCAGCACAACATTCTGTCCCTCTCCCTGCAGCAGTGGCCTGTTTACTGCTGTGTACAGAGCAGAATAGCAGCATTCCAATGATTTGTTCTTTATTCCCCAAATGGAGCAGCGCATTCACCTGTCTCATACTTCCAGAGGCTATAAAAAGAGAGTGGGGGCATGCCTTGCAGGGCAGTGGAGATCAAGACACTGAGCAGAGCAATCAGGTCAGGCAGTGTGAGATACTGGCAGAAGTCAGTTCTCTCAACAAACAAACAGGCTATGTCTACATTGCAAGGTTTTTGCACAAAAATGTCCATTTTTGCGCAAAAAACTGTAGAGCGTCCACACCTCAAATGTGCTTTTGCGCAGGTAAATCGGCAGTAAAACGGCAGAATAGAGGGCTTTTGCTGGTGTAGGTAAACCTCCTTCTATGCGGCATAACTCCCTTTTGCGCTACAGCTATTGCGCAAAAAGGCAAGTGTGGACGCTCTGGAGGGGTTTCTTGCACAAGAAGCCAAGGTGGGAAAAAGAACAGATGCTCTGATGACCATTCTGTGAATGGCAATCAGAGCTTTCTTGTGCAAGAGCATCCATGCAATGTGGACGTGCTCTTGTGCAATACGTTTTTGCGCAAAACCCTTGCACAAAAGGCTTCTTGCGCAAGAAGCCTACAGTATAAAGGCAGCCACAGTGTCTACACTGGCTCTTTGCTGATAAAAAAGGGACAGGAAAAAAGTTTCTTGTAGGGTTGGAAGTTTTATGTTGCTGAAACTGGGTGTTTTCTGGACAAAAGTTGCTTTGGAGTATATAGGCTCTCACTGTTTTATCACCAAAAAACAGCTTTTGGTGACAAAACTTGATAGTGTAGACAAGGCCTTATAAAACTAAATGAAAGAGGTTTTATATTTGGGCATCTCAGCACTAGGTCTATCCCTGACAACCCCCATTTCAGCAATATTGCACTACTGACTAGTTTCTGTAAGCTGCAAAAGTACCCATTGTGACCGGGTCAGTCCCCCTCCTGGTACCCTGACCCTTGTTCCGTCCACTATCTCACCCTTTGAGGGTTGCAGCGGGGCCCTCACTTGCAGAGTTTTTAGCCCTGGGCCTTCCTGGTCCTCACCATAAAGAATGGTGTATTGGGCTGAAGCCCTGAGCCAGTCACAGCTGAGTAGTAAGCCCTCTTCTAGCCCCTTGGGGATAGGGAACCATTCAACACTCCCTGCTCCAGCCCTTCACCTCCGCCTACAGCCTTTGGCAGGACTGAAATCTCCTTTTCACTAGGTTGTTTGCTCCTCCTCCACTCTCTCTCCTTCTCCTTTTGCCCTAGGGAAGGCTTTTAAAGAGGCCCTGTGGCAGCCTAATTCAGCTCACCTGGTCCTTAATTAGTTTGCAGCTGCCCTGTCTCAGCTGCCCCTTTTCCCTTTTAACCCTTCCCTGTCACACTATCTAGGAGCAATGCATGCACTTGTATCCTTCCTGGGGCACAGTGTTTTCTGTGTTACAATGTCTAAATTTCTTAAGAATCTTATTCATGCTTTTCCCCTAGTTTGGGAGCATGACATTCCCCCACTCTGGGACCTCTTTGTATTATTAACATGTTTGATGTATCTCCCCTTTGAGCTATTAAGTTTTTCTCTATGCTATCTGTTAAGGAAGTCTGCCTTTTTAATAGTCATTACACTGGTGGAAGGGTAGTGGAAACTCATGGCCTTATGGCAGGTCTCCCTTATATAGAGTTTCATAAAAAGTAAAGGGTTAGTCCCAATCTCATTTCTGGGTTAGTCTCCATCCCAACATTTATCTGGCGGTAGTGTGGATTTACTCACTTTCTCTCTCTCTCTCTTTTTCAGGCAAAGGAACCAGGATTGGGATCTTTAGGACCACAGCCCCAGGGATCAGGAACTGTTCGATGGTGGGAACAGGTGTGTCTTAAATGAAGGAAACAGGTAGGTAGTAGGTGTCTTCTCAGGAGGACCATGTGACCAGAACCCAGGCTGCCTCATGAGCAGACAGCAACCTGTAACACTGCATCAGTCCATTATATCATCACTTGTTACCAGGTAGATGTGACCCTTTCTTGCCCTTCCTCTTTGACTATGTCCAGACTGCAAGCTTCTTTCAAAAGAGCACCTAAACAAAAGCTCATTGAAAAAGCAATCTACTTTTTCAAAAGATAGCGTCCAATCAGTGTGGATGCTATCTCTCATATAAGGCCATCCGGAACCAGTTCAGGCAGGGCATTAGGTCAGCAGTTGCTTCTGGGTGCTGTTGCCTAAGGCTATCCGAGAGGCGTGCTTAAAGGAACCCCCCGGACAGCCGTTTCTCAGCTTCTGCTACATGCTTGCCTGCCTCTCAGAGAGACAGCAAAGCGTTAGCAGTGTGTGCTCTGGTTGCGCAATTTTTGGACGCCACAGCATGCTCCTTGCCACGGAGCTGGAGCTGCCCCTGAACATGCGATGGCCCCACGCAGTCATGCTGCAGGTTCTGCAGCAATTTTCAGACCATCTTGACTCCCAGCTCATCTGAGTCCCTCTTCTTCTATGTGGGAGCAAGACCCTTGCAACTGCACCCCATGGTGGAGAGACTATTTTGGAGGCTGGATACTAGTTCGGCCTGATCATGGAATGGTAGGACGACCAGCAGTGGCTGAACAACTTCTGCATGCGGAAAGTCACCTTTTTGGGCCTAGCTCACCCCTACCCTCCAACGACGGGACACCCACTTGCGCTCTGCCATCCCCCTGAACAAGTGGGTTACCATCGCCAACTGGAAGCTCGTCACCCCAGACAGCTACTGGTTCGGCGTGGGAAAGTCCACTGTCAGGGCCCTCCTCATGGAGGTAAGACACTCTCAGGCTGCAGTCCCTGCAAGGGGGAGTCCTGGAAAGGTGGACCCCAGGGAAGGGGGAGAGGGGTGGTGCTGGGGTGAACTAGGGGGGGAAGCCCTAGTTGTGCCATCCCACCCTCACACAGCCCTGCTGCTGGAGGGTAGCCTCACGGGGTGGCACCTGTGATGTTTGAGGGGCAGGCAGTTCCCAGAGGCTCTCACATTCCCTCTCATGCTCAGTTTTGTGTGTTTCTTTGTCCCCTTCTGCAGGTTGAGGGGGCCATCAACTTCGTCCTGCTATGCAGGGCCATACACCAAGGAGAACTGGACCCCATTATTGCAGGATTTGCCACCCCGGCGTTCCCCAACTGCAGGGGGGTTATCAATGGAATCCACATCCTAATCCGTGCACCACATTTAGCGGCCCAATCCATAAACCACAAGGGCTATTTCTCCATGATGATGCAGGCCCTCATCGACCACCATGGACACTTCAGACATTTTTGTTGGGTGGTCTGACAAGGCACATACTGCCCACCTATTCAGTAACGCCAGCTCTACCACAAGCTCCAAGCTGGGACATTTTTCCCCCAGCGGGACATTTGCATGGGTGACCTGTAGGTGCCACAGTGCATCGTCAGGGAAGTGGCCTATCCATTAATGTCCTGGCTCATGAATCTCTAAACTGGCCACCTGGACCCCAGCAGGAAACAATTCAATGTGCACCTCAGCCAGGCCCAAATGCAGGTGGAATGCGCCTTCCACTGCCTGAAGGCAGGGCTCAGACGTCTCATGACCCACCTGGACTTGAGATCACATCGTCACAGCGTGTTGTGTTCTCCACAATATCGTGGAGAGGAAGGGGGAGGCCTTCCTACCCGGGTGGGGGGCATAGTCCAGCAAGGAAAGGAGGGCCTTCACACAGCTGTGGACAGCTGCTGTCTACTGAGCACATCAGGGGGGAGTGCACAACCATGAGGCCCTGAAGGAGTTTGTCTCAAGGACCCCAGTAACTTTCCCCACTGCCTCTCCACTAGAGGCCTGTGCCTTGACTCCCTAGGGCTACGTCTGCACTGGCACAATCTTGTGCCAGAAATATGCAAATGAGGCTAAGCGTGGAATATGGCCCAGCCTCAGTTGCATATCTAATGAACCTATGCCTTTCCCACCACACCCCCTTCCTTCCCCTCGTTTGTCTCAAGGACCCCAGTAACTTTCCCCACTGCCTCTCCACTAGAGGCCTGTGCCTTGACTCCCTAGGGCTACGTCTGCACTGGCACAATCTTGTGCCAGAAATATGCAAATGAGGCTAAGCGTGGAATATGGCCCAGCCTCAGTTGCATATCTAATGAACCTATGCCTTTCCCACCACACCCCCTTCCTTCCCCTCTTCCCTCCACAGTCAGTAAAGACACCAGTGTGGATTGGAACAAAAAAAATTTTTTTTTAAGTAACTGGGAAGGAGGGGGGGCTCAGTATTGGGAGTGGCGTGTGGGGCAGCTAGAAATGCCACCTTGGGTCTGGGGACGACAGCGAACTCGGAGGTGGATGGGGCCTGGGACAATAAGGAGATGGGCAGGATGGGGCGTTGGAGTGGGGTCAGGGATGGTAGAAAAGGTAAGGGGAGGGGGCATAGGCATGGGCAGGGGAGCTGGAGTGGGGAACAGAAACCAGGTCTGCCATCACTTCCCGGATTGTGGAACATGTTTTTGCCCAGCCGCACACGCTGGTCTTACATGTAGTTCTGTCACTTGGCTTCATCCCAGACCTTTTGGGCCAGGGTCTGCTGCATGTCACACAGGACACCACGTGCTCCATGCTGATTACCAATCAGTGACTGCTGCTCCAGCTGTGGAGAATGAAGAGGAAGAGGCAGTCAGTCATCCCTGCACACAATGTCCCTCCTCTGTGAGCACAGAGCAACAGTCCTCAGAGCAGAGGATGGGGATGTCCTGGGAGCAAGGCCATGTGTAGCCTGCACAACTGGCCCTGCCTCACAGGGGCCCTGAGGTACCTAAGGAGCCATGCTTCTCCCCCACATATATACCTGTGTCTGTGGCCATGGGTGGTGCCTCATGTGCAGCACTCCGTCTCTGTAGGGTCATGCATGTGCCTTCCAGCCTGCTTCCAGCATTGCCAGGTTGTGGGAAGGCATTTCCCATCCCCCCAGGGGTGTCACATGGTGGGGGTGTCTCCCCACAGCCTGTGAGCAGGATCCCAGGGGTGCTCTGCATCTGGCTTCTGTGGTGCACATTGGTGCTGCATGCGCTTGTACATGCATGGACTGCAGCAGAATCTGCAGGCTGAGTAACCATTCCCCCTTCTCCTCTGTGCCTGCCTCCCTCACCCTGTGTGTGTGTGTGTGTGTGTAGCAAACAGAGCATTCACCTGATGATCCTTTCCTGCTGTCAGAGGATGCCTGGGAGACCTCCAGGGCTTGGGTACCAGCTCCAGGGTGAGGGTGACTATGATGGCCGTATTCTCCCTGAACTGCAGCTCCTATTTGTCCTCCTCCTCCTCAAGGAGCGCCTGGTGGGTGACTACCGGCATCTCAAGCCCCAAGTCCACCACTATGGGTGGGGAAATGGTTTCACCACCCCCTAGAATGCAGTGCAGCTTACTGAAGTATGGGAAGTAGTGTGATCCTGCCCTGGAGAGAGACCTGTGCCCCTGGCATAGCTCCTTCACCTTGCTCCTTAATTGGTGCAAGAGTGGTATCCCCTCACAGCCAAAGGCGCCACCATCTCACCTTAAGTGTTTGTGTTGTAGCTCTGGGAGCCAAGATCCTGCAGCGTCTCCTCCTCCCCACAAAGCTCGAGGGACAAGCTCTCTGTCCCAGAGCCAGAGGGCACATGGCGTTTGGTGCCTGTGGGTGGGTCCTGCGAGTCCTGGTGGTGCTCCCTATTAGGGCCAGGTGAATATGGGGGCTTGTGCTTGGCTATAGTTCCCAGTGTGGGTGACAGGGCCAGCTTCCTGCCACAAACCTTGTCCAGGGTGCCTGCAGCTTTAAAAGCTGCCAGGGGAGAGGAACTATAGAGTTTTGATTACTCTGGACAGAGTGTCCACCAAGGCACCTGCCTTTTTCTGAAAGAGCTCTTTCGGAAAAAGGCTTCTTCCTAGCAGAAAGAGTTTTACTGCTGTCAGAAAAAGCCCTGCATTCTTTCAACTTTGTCAAAAGAACACAGTAGCAGTGTGGACTTAAGTTCTTCCAAAAAAACTCTGCTGTGTAGACATACCCTTTGTAGCATCCCACCTTTTTCTGTTAGGGTGCGTCTAGACTGTAAAGATTTTGTGCAAAAGCAGCCACTTTTGCGCAAAAACTTGCCAGCTGCTTACACTGGCCGCTTGAATTTGCAGAAAAGCACTGACGATCTCATGTAAGATTGTCAGTGCTTTTCCGGAAATACTATTCTGCTCCTGTTTGGGCAAAAGTCTTTTTCCGAAAGACTTTTGCGCAAAAGGGCCATTGTAAACAGCACAGTAGTGTTTTCTGCAAAAAAGCCTCAATAACTAAAGTGGCCAGCGGGGCTTTCTTGCACAAAAGCACATCTATACTGGGCACAGATGCTTTTGCACAAAAGCATCCATGCCAATATAGACACTTTTGTGGAAACACTTTTAACGAAAAAACTTTTAAGTATTTCTGCAAAATCATGCCATTCTATCTAAGTATCATCAAGATCCTTACGGTTGCATTGTCTATCAAGGAATTCAACAGCATCAAGGGTGAAAAGCAGTAAAGACTGCCTCTCCCTACATCTGTCACTATCTGCAACTTCTTGCTGGGGAGAAGATGCATCTTCAATTTTAAGATCTGAAGCCACTGACAGTAACGAAATGTGAACATGTTTCAGTAGACAGCATTTCACATTCACACAAAACTCTGTCCCTTGGAAGTTAACACCATTAGCCTTTGCATAGCTACAGTAGCTGTGCTGTAGTGGAAATATCACAAGGGGGCTGAACACTTAGTCATGACAGCTGTTCTTGTCTTTCAAGTAGCAAAGATACATTTTACAAGTGGGATCTGTGCTGAGAATTCTAGAACAAAATAGGATGTTTGAAGACTTCATATAAACACACTGACAAGATCTGAGGTATTAAAGGAAGTTTTATTTATACATTTTAGCAATAGGAGAAAATTGAAGATGCAGTTCTGCTTGGTTGTAGATGCAGTTATCTGCTTGGTTGTAAAGAATAAAACATTTAATTATAAATATTTAGCTAAAAGCGTGATTTATAAAATATAATCTGTGGAGATATATACATAGTTTAATTGTTTAGCAATTCTCCCATCTGACATTAAAGATTAGAGGTCTTTCTATTTATTATTCTACACTCACAGTTTAGTGCTCACAGCTTAAGCAGCAAGACAGACAGGTGAAGACACAGATGATCCATCACGGACCACTGATGTGAGTCTTGTCTTAGAAGGAATTTGGGCAACAGAGAGGCAGAACATTAATGCATACAGAGAGGCTTTGCAAGAAGGACTCCTCCTCTTTTTGGTGGCTTTCAGCAGATACAGACATGCACCTGCAATTTTTTAAAAATTTGTGGGCAAGTCCTGTGAGTTCATAAAAAATGGATACCATAGGCTATGGTAAGGGTATCATGCAAGTTTACTAAATTCAAATTTGCCCAATGCACCACAATCTTGATTTGTAACCTCTCTGTTATTCCCTTTCTGAGCAGAAACTGCTCATTGTACCATATTGGTTTTGTAGAATAATGACTTCATGAAAGTCACTTTGACACGTACATCCTCAGTTCATGAACATAAGATTCTTGGAGGTGAAAGAATTGTGCATCATTCGATTGTGCTGCCCAGCAGGAAATATTTCATAGACACAGATATACCCATTTGCTTCTCCTAAATCGAAGAGCCTAAAAAAGTTTAGTGAGGCCATACAGTAGACTGATTTTTTTTGGATCTTTCATCTTCCATCAGTTTTCTGTTTTGTTTAAAGTAGTGCTAATTTCTCCTACATCCTGGGCAAGATGTTACTTAAGAGAAGTCCGGCTTTTTTTTCAACTGGGAGAGTTGTCAAGATAGCATTTCCAACAGAAAGAGTTGGAAGGCTGCTGTTATTCTTTTGGCTAGTAGAAAAGGTATGTGACTGTCAATTGATTTCATTCCTAGCCCTGCCGACTCTACAACCTTTGGACTCAGAGAAAGGAGAGTAGAGCAAAGTAAAATATATATGATCCTGCTAAGGTTTAGTGCACGATAACAGAAAAAGTAATCTGTACTTGGTTCATTCTGATTTGCTCTAAGACATCACTACTTACCTGGAAAATAAACAAAATACCTCAAGGGGAACGGGAGGGTTATGAAGAATAGAAACCAAAGAGCAAAAGGTAGACCAGAGAGACTTTTTTTTTTTTTTTTGGATTAAGAAAAGTTGACTGTCATTGCTCATCCATGATTTGCTATTTGGTTCTTCAGCACTAGGACGAACTTAAGCACTACCTGACAGTTTAGAGTGATGAGTATGTACACAGTTCTCATTGTTCACACTGTATGACCACATGGTAGTTGTGAGAGCTGTATCCTTTGGAACTGATTTAGAAGCTTCAGTTTGAAAGGATGGTCAAGCTCTAGCAGAAGATACTGTCCAGGCACAGTTGCAATTCATGGAAATAGTCCAGGCACAGTTGCAATTCATGGAAATAGACCAAATTAGAAGAAGTCTACTGGTAGAATGGATGGTTACTGGCTGAATGCAGACTTGAGCTCTTTGAATGCTGCCCGACGGTGTTTCTTCTCTTCCTCTTCCCGTTTTCGCTCATCCTGCTCTGCCTTGATCTCCTCTTCAAACTTACTAGCTGAAGAAAGGGCTTGAACCTGTCAAGGGAAATACAGACATGAGCTATGGCAAGGATTAAGAATTTGAACTATTTATCAGCACCCCTGTTGGCCACATCTTTCACTGGTTACCAGATTCAGTGGTGCCATAATTGATTACGGTTTAACAATATTACAGTAGCTGAGTATTTACACTGACAACCTGTTGATTCACTTTTATTCTGAAATAAATAGTTTATTTATCAATGGTCACTTCCCCCTGGAACTGAGCCACACTTCCGAAAAGAGTGTGCATATATTTATTCCAACATGTAGGAAATATTCTAATTTCTTTATGACCTTTTGTGCTAAATAAAACGGGACGCTAAATGCGTGAATTGACTTTCAAGATTTATAGGACAAATGTCTTGACCAGTTATGCATCCTCCCATTCCTCATCACTAGGTCACCAGCCATCACAGCATGAGTCATGAAAACTCAATAAGCTTTCCCCAAAGATAAAAAATTGCAGAAAGTGTGATAATTCCAAATTGGGACGAAATATGAGGAGCTCAGACTGTGGCCCATTTGCACACCAAAGGAAAAGGCTTCATTTGAGAGTTGGTTTTCAGCTCTACTTTCCGGTCTGTGTGTTAACTGCTGTGCTATGTTAGACAACTATTTTTGTCCACAGAATTCCTTTCAGATCATGTTTTACCAAACTTTAGAAGCCCGGTCCAACCAAACATGAAGATAAGGCTTTGTAGTATTATCCAAACAAAAAGCTTTGTGAGGTTATTCTGGCCTAGAAAATTTAAAAGATGAGAACACTCACATTTTTTTCAGAACTAAGCTCCGTGCTCTGGTGCTGGAGAAGAGGAAGTTCCTTGCAGAGAAGGTTAGAAGTTAGTGCAGGATTGCTGGCCTGTGTGGTGTTCACTGATCACACAGTACTTAAGGTGCTTGTAAAAGCTCTGCTTTATTCTGTGAGGAGTTCCAACTGACTGTGTTGGACAACCAACTCTTCATAGCATGCTGGCCAGACTCTGCAGATATGTCTGCACCGCAGTTGGGAGGTGTGACAGTAGCACATTTAAACCTACCAAGGATCCCAGATAAATAATCAAGCAGCCACTGCCCATACTGCCACAGCTATTATTACTCCCAGGTGCTGCAGTCACACCTCTTGACTGCAATACACACCCACCCTTTCTTTGGGAAGCCTAGTCCTTAATAATTACTGTCTTCGAGATACTTTGTGAACAGGTTTGGATGATGACATTTCAAGGGCTATTTCAGCCATGGAGATGATGGGATGGAGTAAGAAGTCTACAGGGTGCTTGAAGGGGAAGGAAGCACCACTAGAGCAGCAGAGGCTGGCAAAATAAGCCATTTTGTGGTTCATTTATCAGCAGAATAATGCTCTGTGGGGCACAGCATACACATCTGAACAGGAACTGGCACAACCCAGCATGATAGTGCGACTGTGTACTCTGTGTTGAGGAAAATTAACATCTTAAATTGGTGGAATAACATCTGTTGACACTGGTGTGACGGACCCCCCTCCCCATGCTTCATGAAATGGACTTAGGGGACATGAAGATACGTAACTCAAAAGTGCTTTGAGCAAATTATTTCGTGTACCCCATCAATCTTCATGTCACAATTGACTGGTTCTGTTTATCTTACTTTGATGTATGTATCATTTGTGTGTGTGTAAAATTAGACCTATAGAGTGGGGAATACTTTGTGGTTTTACATGTGTGAATGAGAGACATGGAGGGTTAAACAATCTCTTTTGTCCTTAAGTCTGGCCAGTGGTAGGTAGGGAGCGGCCTCAATTCCTTAACAAAAACAATGGGAAAACAGCGCCCTTGGTCTTTTGGCTGGGCTACACCTAGAGGACAGGAGCCAGAGACCCCAGGGTGGGGAAGACAGCCCTGGTTTGGAGGGGCAGCTGGAAAAGAGGTTTTAGGATGAGTTTGAACTGAGGTTTCAGAGTAGAATTAACCAAGCGTTTGTTTCTTTTGATTTGTAACCTACTTGGCTCTGCCTGTTCTCACTTCTTACCACATAAATATTACTGTTTCTACTTCATAAAATCGTTTTTATTTTCTATCAAACCCTGTGTAATTAATTGTTACCAGAGGTGGGGGGGCAACCACTGTGTGCATTTCCCCTTTCCTTGTTAAAGGAAATATTTTGGGGCTTGATGCCATTTGGGGAGTGGTATCCCAGGAAACTGAGCACTAAACTGCACTCTTCTTGGTCCTCAAGTGGTTCAGTGTCTATACTGCTTCTCAGTGGGGGCAGGGACCTCAGCTCAGGGCCTTGGCTGTGGGAGACCAGCAAAGCTGCCCAAGCAGGACCCAGCAATGAGGAGTCCCAGAGGGTGGGAAGGCTAGTGGCAGTGGCCATGTCAGCACCCTGAGAAGCACCCCCTAGGGGTCATCTGTGACTGAACCCAATAACAACTGGCATACTGTCTAGCACCCAAGCAGCAATGCCCATTCCAGAGAACAAGATGAGAACTATAGCAAGCTTTTTCAGTCCCCCCCACCTCCACCACACTACCATACCTTGGCCTCAAAGAAGTTCTTGGCTCCTTTAACTCCCTCAGTGGAAACATCTATCTCAGAGAGTTTTGCCAGAGTCATCAGCCCGCTGTCTTCCTCCAGCTCTCCAGCTGCAGCTTTATGGAAAATCAGCAGAAACTAGCAAGGGAAAAAAGGGGGTTTATTACAATTCCAAGCAATTAAACTAGATGCTAAGTAAAAGCAGCTACTGACGTATGATCCAATATAAGAATTTGAAGTTACCACCACAAGAAAACATTTTATAAACAAAAGGAAAAAAATGTATTTACAATAAGCTGCCTCCAGCATTTTGGATGCAGAACTGTGCTCTCTCAGACTGGAGAGAAGAGCCTCTTTAGGGAAAAGCAGGGACTTCCCACACATTAGAGCTTTGGCAGCAGCATGGTTCATGTATTACCTCATAACAGACAGCAGCAGAGAAGGGGACTGTCACTTCTCTTCCCTCCCTGTGGTGGAATGCGTAGTACAGCTGCATGGTGTGATTCTCAGGAAGGTCTAGCTGCCTTATGGCATGAGCTGCCACTTGTGTTGTCAACCCAAGCCATTTTGGTGTCCCTTTTATAACAGTTCACCAAGCTTTTCATTATAGGTGCATAATACATAACAGACCGAATTAAAGCATCAGAACAACGCTGCCCCCATCTTCAACTGACCTTTCACCTGTCCAGATAAGCTCAATGGAACATACATCAGACAGGACGCAAGGGCCACATCTGCTGCTTTTGATAGAGCAAGTAGTCTAAAATAGCTTGCAGTCAACAATGAACCAGAGACGGGCCTCACGGACATGCTCACATGATCTGCTGCTTTTGATAGAGCAAGCAGTCTAAAATAGCTTGCAGTAAACAATGAACCCGAGACGGGCCTCACGGACATGCTCACATCAAAAACCATTTCAAGAAGGCAGGTAACCCTAGTGGAGAATTTCTGACTACCTATCCAGACCTTAGACTGCACATAAAGGTTCTTCTTGGGACTCAGATAAAGCTTCTCCCTCAGTGACCATAGTGGAGGGATACCAATGTTTCCTTCTAAGATGTCCAGCAGCACAGCCCCACAGCTGCATCATAAGCCCTGCCCAGACAGGGGCTCAGGACTTGCACATGGAGCTGCCTGCCAGGGGGTGGAAGGGGGACACATCTCTCTCCATGACAGCAGCAGCTCCCTACTAAGGGCAGAGTAGACTGTTTCTCCTGGTAGGTGCTAGTCCTCAGCAAGGAGCTGCTGCTGTCAAGGAGAGAGAAGTGCCCCTCCCCCTGGCAGGCAGCTCCATCCTGAGCCCCTGGCCAGACAGGGCTCATTAAGCAGCTGCGTGGCTGTGCTGCCTCGCAAATTAGACAAATACTGAGCAGTCCCCTTCTCTGCCTCCATCTGGTGCTGAGGGTTCAGGAACTAGTGGTAGACTGGAGAGGATTGTCATGATGGGATATGGGCTGGCTTGCCCCTAAAAGGTGCTGCTGGGGCTACTGCCAAAAAGGAGTTTGATGCTCTCTGCTCCCAGTTATTGGAGCCAGCAGATGTCCCATCAATTTTGGGATGACTGGGACTAACAGTAAATACTTGGCTATTGCAAGATCCTCTGGGGTCAAAGACAGTCTGCTGCTGGGACTGTGGTGGTTTGTATGTATCAGCAGAGGGTGCCATACCAGACAGTGTTCTGGGAGAGTTGATGGTGCTACCATGGGACTGGGAAAGGAGGAGTGGCCTGGCATCTGTCACATTGTACTGTCTTCCTCCTGCTTGTTCTTTTTCTACACCAGGAGAGCACACACTGCTTCTTGTGCTTCCTCCTCTGCACCAGAGATGAACGATGCCAGAGGAACACTTCACAGTGAAGTGCATGGTGTAGCATCAGAATGGCTTGGCTCTGAGGCTGGTCTGAGAGCAGTTTCCATTAATCTAGCCTTGAGCCTTATTTCTCAGTCCTTTTTAGTGCAGAGTCTCAAGTCATGAGTTTCTACCAAGCACTTAAAGCAACTGGAGTGCAGGTCACCCATGGGCACAGGTTTGCACACCACGGAACAGGGTGTTCCTAGCCCCTAGGGTAAAATCCCTCAAGAATAGAGAAAACAGTGTAGATATATATTGTAGCTAGCATTAAGGACTAGCTGCACTTCAAAAAAAGAGTTTAAAAACAGTTCAAAAAATCATTTGGAAGGAGCCTAGTTGAAGAGTGATTGTTCCAGCAACCATTTGGGTAGTAAGAAGAATGGAAAGGGTACATTATTGGTAGCATCCTTTATGCTGATGCTCCAGGAGGCACTAGAGTTTGCCTGACAGATACTAACAAGGTAAAAATATATCTCTAGCAATGGTGTACAGACCCTGAATGAGTAATGGACATGAGCAAACACTCAAAGAACTCAGTTATCCATATTAGAAAAGAGAATTGCCTTCTGACGTTTCTGCCAAAACATACTGATAGTGGGAAGTTTAAAAAAAAATTAGAGGGATTTTTTTTTTGTTCTTGGGGAGAGGTGTTAACGGTCTAGCTCTAGTATTAAATCACTATTTAGGATTCTCACGAACATGGAAGACGACTTAGGAGTGCATCACAGCTTTAAGATTACCACCTTGCAAGGCTACAATTTTGACAGAATGTTTTCTTCTATTGCATCCATTAATATAGTAGAGTTGCAATAGCAAAAATGACCTTTAGTAGTCAAACAGAGCGATACCCAAACACACTCAGGGATGGCTGAAAAATTGATCTAAGTGCTTACATAGCAACTTGTTAAAAAACCCTTACAAGAGCACTTTAACATTTCTAGTTAAGATACCAAGAGATACCTGACCGGAGGGCCTGCTGCCAATTTATTTAAACTACAAAACCACAACATCCGATATTTACATAGTCTGAGAAGCACATTTTTCTTCCCCCCCCAAAAAATTAAAATTTGCTACAATGCCTCAGAACTTCCTGATAGTGCACCAAGTTTCAGTTGAGGACACACACATCTATATTGTAATCCTCTGAAGCCAGGATTTATGATTCAAACACTAATATAGACACCATTAGTCATGTTCAAGTACTGCTGTAATTAGACATCACCATTTGTGTCTCAGCTATCGTATAGCCTAAGCACTAGCTCCACAGGGATGAATCTGTGTGAGAGGAGCTGCATCAGACCCTATTGTACCGCTCAAGTCCAGCAAGGAGGGGCTAAGTAAAGTGTAGGACCATGTGCGCTCACTCCAGAAGGTGGGATTTCAGACACCGAAAGTTAAAGGAAGTTCAGTTCTGTATTGCCTCAATTCAGATGGGATTTGTCTGTTTCACTGCAGAGATAACACTTTTCCACTAGAGGACAGCATGTCCCAAGTGCATCGGCAATCTCAGCCAGCTCCTTTCATCACTAATGCATAGGATTAGGAAAAATAGATTTGTTATTTTGAAGACACTTGCTGAACAGCTGATTGAGGTGCAGCAGTCTGAGACTGTGGTGGGGAGGATAACTACAGTGCTGGCTAATCTCTACTACAGCATCGAAGTTCTGAGACAGAGGATTTATGTAATAGCCCTGCAAGCTGGGTGTGCTTATTAAAGTAGAGCACACAAAAGGCAAGCTGCCTTATGAGGAAGCTTCTCCTGTTAAACTTTTGAGCCCACCTCAAAAATTTGACAAGGATCTCCTTTCACTCTATTCAAATCATTCTGTCCCTGCCTCTTCCCCACTCAACAGCTCAAATATCGCTTTGGATCTTTGAGACAGCCTGAACTCTCTGGTTGTACTAGTATTAGTCAGCTGTTCCTCCTCACTGTTCCAACCCCACCCTTGTAAGCCAAACTTCCTGGCATCCAGAAGTCTAGTGGAAACAAAGCAGTCCTGAGATTTGATGCAAATGCAGTTCAGGGAAGGGTAGGTCAGTGCCTGGAAACACCCAGCCATGACCAGTCACAAGGACACGTGGTCATGAATCACCCTGAAACTAGGGAATCAGGCAATATTCCTCTTATGGAAGATGGGCTGTTACCACCGGAAAAATATGCTGCTTTACTAGCTACTTCAGCCAATGAAAGACATGTGGGACTTGCATGTTTCCAACCTTTTGTGCCTGGGTATTAATGGTGGCCATTTACCAGATGCTGATGTCGAAGAGAGGCCAAGTGCAGAATACCAGAATTTTTAAAGACTACACTGAAAAGCGCAGAAAGCTGGGCACCCTTTTCCAATCCCACAATCTTGACACAGTCTCTATTTTCAGTGATTTTTATTCACACACACACACACACACACACACACACCACGTGTACACGTCTAAAGCCATACTCCAGTTACACAAACCCCAATGCAGCACAGAGTGCCTGCCCTCCTGCAAAGTGATAGCAACATGGCTACTATACTCCTTGCCTAGTGTGTACATCATAAACCTTGATAACAGGAAGGGAGGTAGTTAACTGAAGTGGAGACACACAGGCCCTTGAAATGAACTATGCGCAGGTGGACACAGTCTGTGCCCTGAGATGGCATGACTTCCCTGAACCCAGCTGGTAGACATGTGATTTAGGTCGTTTTACTAGTGCAGGCAGAGTGATTCCAAGATGGATTTTATTGATGCTAGATATGGACAGAGTCAAGTTTTGCTGTTAAACCTATTATCTGTTCATTCCTTTGGAAGTTGGGGAGTTTGAGCCTAGGCACTGCGGAATAGGTTGTGCTTCTCTTTAAGGATAACTTGTTCGATCTGAGCCTTAAAGAGGAACTCTGTGGAGCTAGTTGATCGATTGTACAAATCCATTTTATAGACCAACATGTTGGTCAGCTGCAAGAGGAAGCTAGTGTAATACTGGAAGAGAGTTGTTTACAGAGTGAGTTGTTTACAGTTAATGGGAATTACAGTTTTTTCTGGAGACAGTGCAGATGTGGAGCCCTGTGGGAACACACAGAAGGGAAGCAGATGACTAGCAGCTGGGCACTCCATATTATGTCCTACGACATGCTCATCCAATGCAAGCAGTACACAATGAATAGATGCAGGGGTCTGCTGCCAAAATCGCTGCTGGTTGGCTTTGCTGTAAATATGTTCACACAGCTTCTGCTCCTGTAGCCTCCCCTGCTCTGGAATTGCCTTAGTACTGCAGTAGTCACTCAGTTACAAATAATCAACAATTGCTA